GAAACACGGGGACATCTGGAAACATCTTAAATCCCACAGAGGGCTGAGCAGGGGCTGAGGGTTGATGGCAGCTAATTGTCACCTGACAGATGTCAGCTTGGACAGTTGGTCTCTCAGCACGGTGCAGCCGTACAGCTGGCTGACGGCCTCTGGCAGCCTCTCCCTGCCTCATTTCTCCCAGATGTACCCCAAATCCTCACCACACCACCTCATAGCCACAGGCCACCTTATGGCAACATGCTGCTGCGATCTTGTCATTTTTAGGGCATGTGCGGCGGTGTTTTTTCAGAGTCTTCTCATATATTTGTCCTGCAGACACATTTCCAGAAGGGAGAGCTGGAGCAGGCTGTTTCCTAGCTGTCTGGATCCTCGAGGTTTCCTGGTCTTTGCACTGCCAGAAGGACAAGCCAGAAGGACATGCACCACAATGGTCACACTCTCAAGGTCCTGCCCTGGTGGCAGTGGCAGGCTGGCCTGGGTTTGGGTTATTTTAACCTGTCCCTGCAATGCAGCTGCAAATGTGGAAAAAGATGAACATGGCACCTTCTCAGCAAGGAACAGCTTGTTAAGCACATGCTGTCACTGGCTTAGAGAGTCGGGAGACAATATAATTACAGTCATTCCAAGAGATTCTTTCTGCTGAATTGCCCTTTTGGGAGACAGCCCCTCCTATCTTTTTGGTGCCAATACTTTTTTTTTTTTAACTTACTGGTAAATTGCAAAATGCCACAGGTAAAAGTTTAGCTCCTTGGTTATTTGCTTAGGATTTAATATATCTTATTAGAATGATTTTTTTTTTTTGCAGTGGTTTGAAGCTCCTGAGCCTTCCCTCTGCAGGGAGTTCAAGAGAGGAGGAAGCAGCTCTCTTGCTAAACCCATTGACCTTAGCAATATTGTGTGTGCATCATGAGCTGCTGCACAGGAAGTGCTCAGACAGCCCTGGGAAGGCAAGGAGCTCACTCATCCATTTCTTAATTTGGTGTCTGAATCAACAGCCCGGAAAGATGAGGACAGGAAACTGTGAGATTCCTTTCCTTGGAAATCTTTGTTTATGACAACTGTTAGTATTGAGGTCCAACAGACATGGGCTCACCAGAGAGAATTATACAGCTCTGAAAATCCTTCTATTAGTCATTTCCAATCAGTTTAACTTTGCAGATTCTACAGTATTTCTTTTGCTCATTCATTCATTCATTCATTCATGTATTTATTCATTATTTCATTTCAAAAACCAGTTGTTAAATGTGAACTGCATTCCAGGACTGCACTCGGGATACTGTCTTTGCCCTTGAGTTGCTTATAGTGGTTTAGAGTAGGGGCAGAGACCTCTGGGGAAAACCCAGAGGTTGGGGACATGTGAAGTGGCACCTACTGGCTCTAGGGGTATGGAGAGGTTTCTTGGAAGGGTCCTAGAGAAATAAATGGGAGATACCTTTTTGGAGAAAGAGATGTTTAAAGGAAACTTTTGAAAAGTACAGTGTGGTGTTAGCTATTTGCCGCTGTGACCAAAATATCTGACAAGAATGACCTAGAGGAAGAAAGATTTATTTTGGGCTCACAGTTTCAGAGGTCTCAGTCCATGATAGGCTGACTTCAATGCTCTGCAACTGAGGGGAGGCAGAACACCATGGCAGAAAGGCATGGCAGAGAAAATCTGCTCAGCCATGGAGCCCAGCAAGAAAGGGGACGGGGAGGTGGAGGGAGGGAGAGAGGAGCCAGGAATAAGATATAGTCCCCAAGAGCACACTCCCCAAAACCTGCCTTCTGCAGCCACATCCCACCTGCCTACATCTACCACCCACTAACCCAGTCAAATTATTAATTTGTCAAATGGATCAGTCCACTGTTGCGGTTACAGCTTTCATAACCAATCTTTTCACCTTTGGACATTGCTGCATTGCCTAACACATGAGCTTTTGGGGGGATATTCCTAGATCTGAACCATACTGTATAGCTAGCTACATGATGTGCTATGTAGACCTCTTCCCAGTCTCCCCGCAGCTGTACTAAGAGAAGCACTTCCGGTGAATGAGGCTCTCTTGGGCTGGCAGCTCTGTCAGGGTGTGTTGATGTGCTGACCTTGGTACACACAGGCACCCTGAAGCTGCTGTGGAGGCTGCTGCCCCGAGGGACACAGGGAAGGTTGCAAGCAGTCATAGGTTGCAGTGCCAAAAAGCAAGCATGATGGGAACCCTAGGTGGGAGGAGCCATGCCCAGGTCCAGCCCCGGCGGGGGGGGGGGGGGGAGTGGGGTTCCAGGGATCCTGAAAGAGGAGTGGTGTCAGAGAAAGAAGAAGAGTTGGGGCCACAGGTTGCAAGTTACAAGCAGCCACCAGAAGACATCTCTGCTGCCCCTGGAGGGAACTTTATTTTTATACCTTTTTTTACAGGTGTTTTTTCAGGTAGTTAATGGATAGCTTCAAATCCTGAAACTTTTTGATTTAGATAATTTTCAAGAGTTCCAATCTTTTCTGACATACATTGATTACCTGAGATATTGAGTACATTGTTCACAATATTTTTCTGTGACCTTAGACAATCATGATTAAGCTTTACGTTTTCACCTCAACTAGACTACATGACTCCTGACCTATTATTCACTTCTAACTTTAAAGCATACCTATAATTATTTCATTAACCTTTAACTTTAAAGCATACTTATGATTAGTGGTAAGCTTTCTTACTTCTAAACTAAAATCCCAGTAAAACACACTTACAGTAGAGAAAGTCTATTATTTAAAAGCCTACTACTCTGAAGTGCCTCAAAACTATGTCATGTTAATTTTACATTATTCTATTTTAATTTCCAAGGTAATTTCCTTTTTTC